TGGAGGCTATTGTATACCTTGACAGTCCTTGAATGAATATTACCACCATCTATTTGTCCAGCACAAGCTGATATGTTTGGATTTGGATGTTGGAAGTTGAAACTCTCTCAGATAACTCTGCTATATCTCTATCAAGTGGCCTGAAATAATAATAATGATAATCCTTGCATTTGATATAGCGCCTTATCATGTCATTGAGACGTCTCAAAGCGTTTCACAGAATATATACCTTAAAGTAGATTGACTGTGTATTTTGTGGGCGAACCACGGGAGCCAATATCCTATATATAAACATCCCATACTGTGGAGATTAATTCCACTATAAGATCATATTTGAAATGCAGATGAGGCGAGATCACACTTCAAACGTCACTCTACCACTTGTACACTCTATTGCTCCAGATGCCATTGAAATTGAACTGCAAGAACAAAATTAGCAATGCAGAAAATATTGCTGGAGGGGCTCACACTCTGCATTTTGCTTGGAAGATGTCAGGCTCAGCTTTTGATCTCCACTTCAGTAGCGATTGCATCCCTGCCAGTTTGCATATAATATTATGCCTCATTGCTGACTTCATCTATTCCAGCTAACACATGCTCTGTATTTTTCCATCAGAGACTGTAATTTAAACAATTAGGATAACACACTCAGCACTTCGATGAAAATTGAAAGACCGTGCAGCGATACTCAATGAGTGACAAGATCTGGAAGTTTGTGAAGAAATGTTTTCTTATTAATAAACAACAACAAAATTACATTTATAGAGCACCCTTCACATCAGGAAAACGTTCCAAGGCGCTGGACAGTCAGGGGTCAGGAACCGAGCATGGGGGAGGGGTGGGGTAGGGGTGAGGGAAGGCAGAGAGGTGGGAGAGCGACTGAAGGCACGGTCGAAGAGGAGGATCTTGAGACCGACCTTGAAGGAGGCAAGGGAGGAAGTGAGGTGCAGGGACTGTGGGATGGAGTTCCAGAGTGTGGGGCCAAAGAGGCTGAAAGCCCAGCCACTGATGGTAGGGCGGGTCGGGCGGGAGACATGGAGCAGGCCAGAGCCCGCTGACCAGAGGGAGCGGGCAGGTTGGTAGGGAGTCAGCAGGTCAGAGAGGTAGGAGGGGGCAAGGTCATGGATCGCCTTGAAAGTGAGGACGAGGATCTTCAATTCGATCCTCTGGGGGATGGGGAGGCAGTGGAGTCGGGCGAGAGTGGGGGTGATGGGGTCATGGAGCCTGGTGCGTGAGAGTACACAAGCTGCAGAGTTTTGGATGATCTGCAGCTTGCGAAGGGAAGAGTTGGGAAGGCTGATGAAGAGAGAATTTCCATAATCGAGCCTTGATGTGGTGAATGCGTGGGTGAGGGTTTGGGAAGCCTGAGGGGTGAGGCAGTGGCGGAGTCTGGCAATGTTGCGGAGGTGGTGGTTATTGTCACTACTAAAAAAAATTTGTTTCAAGTATTAAAAGCAAATGCCTGACTAAATGTATTTTTTTCTATCGTATTTAATCCACACGTCACATTTCTCCTTTCTTCTCCTGAAGGTGCTGACTTACACTGGCATATAGGTGTCATCCTCGCTCAGTTGGTAGCATTCATGCCACTGAGTCAGAAGTTTGTAAATTCAAGCCCCATGTCAGGACTTTGAGCCCTAAATTAACTCTGCTATATCTCTATCAAGTGGCCTGAAATAATAATAATAATAATAATAATAATCCTTGTATTTGAATATACTGTAAAGTCATTGGCTGACTCTCCAATGTGGTGCTGGGGGCATTAAGCATTCTGGGACACTGTCTGGTGTGGAGGGTGCGATATAAATCCAAGTTGTTTTTGTTGTATTATCAGAAGTGCAGTCCTTCAGATGAGATACTAAACTGAGATCTGGTCTGGCTGTTCAGATTGCCTGTCAGATACCAAGGCCTGATCCCAACCACCAGCTCGAGTGCGGATCACTGAATATCCAGCGCCTTGAGACGTCCTCCTGACGTGAAAGGCACTATACAAAGATGCTGCCTGACCTGCTGAGTGTTCCCAGCGACTATCTGTTTTTGTTTGTAATTTGTTGTTGTTGGGAGTTCTCACTTTTTACAGCTCAATGTCAGCTGAGGATCTCCTGCTTGGTTAACTTTCCCTCAGTCCCTCCTTCTCATTAACATCCCCTCCCCCCCTTCAGCTCAGGCTTCCAGTTAATTACGTGAAATGCCTTAAGACATCTTCCTGATGCGATGGCCATTATGTATATTTTTAAAAAAATGTTTGTGAAAAATCCCACGGAACCATTCAAAAAGAGAAGGCAGATTCTCCCAACAATTCTCCAAATTAAATTGATTTTTGACTTCATGGCTGTTTTGGGGAATTTGTTTGGTCAGCCGGGTGTCTGACACACGCTGAAACCCATCACAATGCTTTAGAGTATCCAAACCAAGCTGAGATTTCCATGCCTCCCACCTACACGTGGCGATTCCACAGATATTTATTGGAATGGAATGTGCATTCTCCCCCTGAAGGCCCCATCCTGCTTATCTAATTCCAGAAGGTTTTAGGCACAGGTTGACAAAAGCCAAGGTGTGTGCATTGGGTTAACTGCTAGAGTCTAACCTAGTAAAACCGCATTGCTTGCCATTGATAATAATAATAATACTCCTTGCATTTGATATAGCGCTTTTCACGTCTTCTAGACGTCCCAAAGCGCTTCACAGAATATACTGTAAAATAAATTGACTGTATATCTGTGGGCGAACGCGGCAGCCAATTGCGCACAGCGATGTCCCACAAACAGTCGTAGATTGATAATGACCAATTTATTATTGTTTTTGGTTTTGGAGGGATTATTATTAGGCTCTGTGTGGAGTAAGGAAACTTGCCCAAGGTTTCGCCCTCTGCCTGGAATTGAACTCAGGTCTCTCGCTTGCAAAGCGAGTGCTCTGACCACTGAGCTACAGGACTCCACTCCACTGATATTGCTGTCCAGTAAGCTTTCCCGCTGCTTGTCCAGCTAGGACCACCCTACCCGTTAGGGCTTTGGCTTGCAGGGTTAACAGGAACTAAGTGGGATGACTCCTGGCTCCCAGTGACTGGTCTGCCCTCCCAGGTCCTGCCGATGAGCCAGGCTGGCTGTGCTATCATCAGCAGTGCCTTGCCTTATAAAGACTGTGTATTTTGTGGGCAAAAAGCAGCAACCCATTTGCGTACAGCAATCTCACACAAAGTTATGGAGTGAGTGGGAAACTCACTTCTCTTTTCGAACAGTACCATGGGATATTCAACATCCACCTGAACAGGCAGACATCCGGGACCTCGGTTTAACGTCTCACCCGAAGAACATGTTAACATCATGATGTGAAAGACACTATATAAATGGAAATTTGCATTGTTTTGAATATGAAGTACTGTAAGCAACTAAAAATAAACAACAGGTTAATAATTCAGGCACGATTATCAGCGGATCCTCAGAATTTGTCATTCTGACAAAGGTTCAGAAACATTTATCATTCTCTTATGGATATTGAGTGACGTGCTGTACATTTCCATCATTTTTGCTTCATATTTACATTCCCTGTAGTTTTCATTATTTTATCTGTACAATGAGTGATCTATCTACCAATGCCTGGAAAGGCTTTCCATCAGATCCAGTTCTGGGAGAAGTGATATCAAACTGATTAAATGACTCATTATTGCTCTAATGGGCTCTCTGTCTCCTATTCCAGCATTATATCTGCTGGAGATTGCACTGTGCACACAGCCACCGCTACAACCTTCTGATTAGTACTCTTTAATTTATTTCGTAGTGTTACTAACAATTTTTTAAAAAAAGATTCAAACGCATATTCACTTTGAAGCCAACTATAAAGCACAAAACATTTGTTCATTGATGACTGAATGTACTTATCATCTGTCCAGTTAAATCACCATGTGAATTGGGTACAAGAATAAAGAAATTCAAAGCTCTCGTTATTGTTCCCTGTAAAAAAAAACTAAAAAAAATTGCTAAAAAGGCACAGGACACTTGGATACTTACTAATTTCCTCATTTCTGCATTCATAACAACTTATGTTTTACAATGTCAAAACAGTAGAAGCTGCCAATGTGCTGACTGAGCAAGATTTTATTTCTGCTGTTTTGTAGCATGTAATGCTGATGGTACGTGTGGGCTTGTGGACCCACTCATGCGCTGTTAAAAAAAAGGTTGTGGCACAAAGCAGAAACAGCTTTACACAAATCGGTGAAAAATACTAGTTTACTCGCACACATCTTAAATATAAAATATTGTGACTGGGAGTTAATTCCCACGAGTATGGCGTTTCCGCAGTGTTAAAATTGATAACGTGGTTGAAGACCCACAAAATATGACCTGTTTTTATTTGCAAGAGGCCAATCTGGTAGTGTGCGCTATCAAAATCCTCCACTAACATGTGGGGAAAATAACTTGTAGCTATTTCAGAATATTAGTGCCACAAGTATGCCATGGATTTACATGCTTCTCTGCAGTAATAAAATTTTGCCCACTTTCTAGAAAATCTAGGAAAGCAAGTGAAACATTATTTTTGAAAGGTTTGTTACAGTAAAACAGTTACAGCATAAGTCCGATCTGTATAAATCGTATAATTGCCTAAGTCATACATCTGCCCAAGTCCTGTTCAAGAGCTTATGTTCTATGCAAGTTTGACATAACTCCTACTTTGCATAAGTCACATTAAATGTATGGTCCCAACTGATGCGGTTTATGTGAGGTTTACTGTAGTTCAGAGCTTGTTTGTTTTTCCAAAATTAAGTGTTGATACAATGAGGATTCAGTTCTATTCTATCAGCATAAAAAACTAACAATTTGATTTTGATGGCAACTCAGTCAAGTAAAATTGTTTACCACTTCAATCTGGTACAATTAGAAAAAAATGGGATTTCAAATACTGCAATTATTTTGAATTGTCTTAATCATTTCTGTACTTCTAGAAACATTTCACAAAATGTAAGATTTATTGGTGTTTAAATGTTTCTTGGGACCAATTCTGAGACAAAATACGAGAATATATGTTCTGGTTCCTCATAGCATTTTGATTTCTAAATATTGCACTTCCATATTCATCCTCCAAGACTACCATTCAAATAAACTTTTAAAAAGCTGCACCGTATATACACACTATATAAAAAACAATAATTTATAATTAAAAATTACCTTGTTTTACCCTTTTCACTAAGATGTGTAGTACAAACAGAAGATGTGCGGGACCGATAAAGATGCAGAATTTATATCTAAACTCTACATCATAATATAAATGACGAAGCCTTTATCGTTTGCCTCTTATAGAGTATGGCTTCCTGTACGCACTCTATATAAGTGTCTATTAGACGCTTAATAAATAGTTGCCTGTAGTTAACATTTTCTTCTCTTTAAACAGGATGTTTAGCAGAATTTGCTAGTGTGGATTCTCAGTGGATTAAAACAGTACCTAACATAACTAGTATGATTTATTAATTCATTTTATGCATTCATATATTCTCTTTGATTTTCAGAATGCACAGTAGAATTATAGAATAGAAAATATATGTCATGAACTGCTGTGACAAGGAGAGTATCGCCCTCTCGTGGTAGTAAAACATGAAGCATCTCTTCACTATCTTGCACAGCAAAACCTCTTCTGGGTCGATTCTTCCACCAGCTGAATTGTCTTTTGCTTCTCCTTATCTTCCTGTTCCTTCAGAAGCCTGAACAAAATTGTTGGAAAGAAACAAGGTTACACATAAAAAGTTCATAAAATCTTCCCAGTTGCGTAGTTTGGAATTCAGAAAATGTCAAATAAGGAAGGAATCTTATACAGCACCAATGACAAGTGAATCAAGTAACACAATACAAAGGAGTCTGGCACTGTAATTAATCAAATGTGATTCAAATGGATTTAGAAGGAGATTTTTAAGGCACTCACAATGAGAGATTTCCCTGTAAGGCTGAATGGATGATAGCTCTACATGTGTGTTCACTTGTCACCTGATTTCATTTAACAATCATTCTTACACATAATACGGTGCTTTTCACATTGGGAGGATATATTTTGTGGGCAAACACAATGGCTCATTTGCACATAGCAATGTTGCACAAACAGCATTTCCTATCCAGTTGGTGGTCACTTAACAGATCTGACAGAATCTAAACTCAGTACAATCATTTCAATAACTATTATCTGGAAATAAGATAGTGTAAAACTAGAAAATGCTAGAAACACTCAGTGGGTCAATTTGTGTCTGACAAAGAAAGATAAGTTTATAAACCTTAATCAGAACCCCAGTCACACCTGAAACAATTTTTATGCATTTCCTGCTGATTTTTGTGTTAATCTCTGGGGTAAAAGTACTGTAGTAGTTTAGTGTTTTGTGTGTGCCATTAGTAAGATGTTTCTCCATACAATCGATGGGGCAAAAATCTCTGGAGTATTTGAGGCAGAGGCTGAGGAGATTTGCTTCTACAAAAGAGTCATTTTGGGGGGTTTACCCCCAAATGGCACCATTGTCAGGTTATCTGAAAAAACAATGCTATTATACTGCTTAGTTAAGCAACCGGTCAACAACTTGACATGAAACTGAAGAATATTCAAGTGTTTCTGTCAGCTTAATAGTGGAGCAACACTTTTATGGAGTTATCAATGGAAACCTTCCAAGAAACAGCATTTTGCATATTTCCCTTGAACTCATTGATTATCACATGGTTTACTGAACGAACTTTATATACAAAGTAGTGAGTCATTAGTGTTCCCCGAATTTACTCCAACATTTGACACAAAATATATAAGAGATTGTTCTATATATGAGACAGTCATTTCTACTGACCAACTGGTCCCAACTCTACCATTAATATTATTGCCCTTTCCTCTTTCTTGAGTTGTAGCTCCTACTATTTAATACAGACACAACAGTTTACAATAAATCTTGTGAAGTGCTCTTGACGTGAAAGGTGCTGTAGTAAATGCAAGGATCATTTATTGTTATTACTTGGAAAAAGGGAGAGATTACTTTATTGTCACTAGAGGGTGAAAGGACCAGTTAACAAGGCAGTAAAATTCTTAAGTGCTTTGTGTGTTTTATCTGTTCTATTGGACTTATCTCAGCAACATTTGCCCGATACTCTAAATGTATTGTGAAAAATCTAGCAGTTTGGGGAAAACAATTACACAACACAAATCAGGGCTTCAATTTTGTTTCCCTGACGCCCGTCTTTCTTTGATCTAATAATAATAATCCTTGCATTTGATATAGCACCTTATCACGTCTTTGAGATATCTTAAAGTGCTTCACATAGTGTACTGTAAAGTGATTTGACTATTTTTGGGGGTGAAATGCAGCAGCCAATCTGCACAGGTAGTATCCCACAAAACAGTCATGGATTGAAGTGACCACATTTTTTTAAGGGATTATTATCCCGGAAAAGCAATCCGCCAATCGACTAACAACCGTTCCTACTTACTGCTAGCAATGTGAAATTCAAACATGTCATTGGAAAGTTCCTAACTTACCTCGCCAAGTGCACCATTGGTTCTGTTATATTATAACCAGAGCAGGCACTGCATTCAAAGAAAACCAAGTTGTTTTCCTGTAAAAGGAAGAGAGCAGAGCAATGCTAAATTCAATGCTTTACAATGTTATCTTGGCATCTAAATGTGGGAGGAAAGGTAAGTACAGATGAAACTGTGACATTTTGTTGCTCACTGCCTTTCTATTGATATAGAATTTGTACACTTAACTGTTCGCTAAAAAAATCCTTGATGTTTAACTGTGCTCCATGTGACATAGTTTAAGAGTAAATGTTTGATGATATTTCACCTGAAGTAAAGCTACACTTATCTGACAAAGTAATGGGATACATTAACATTTGGAGAACAGACTGTATTACAAAGTTCTACTTGTAATAGATGAACATTTTGTCCAAAGAGTTCCTTTGGTTCTCATTTCCTCTAATCTAATAAGTAAAGCTTGCGGAAAATATCCAGCCACAACTGCAGAGGCTGAGAAATAAAAAATAATTCACAGCTTGCTCACTTGTTGGAGTGACAAGGGAGTATTCACACAGTAAATAAACCCCTTGACTTACTTTCCATCCAACAATAGGAGCTATTAGTTGTATTGGCAAGTGATCTATAAACCTGCACCTTGTAAAAAATCAAATCCAAGTCACATTGAAAGAGGCGACGTAGAAGCTGTGAGATTTGATCCCTCACTGTGTCAATACATTAGGAATAAAACACTCCCATTGCAGCGGGGAAAAGGCGTGATGTTTGATGAAAATCGTCCTCATAAAGGATGGCAAAGACTGCGCTGACACATTCAACGTGAGTTGAAAATCTTTTGGGGTTTAAAGCGAAAATGAAGGAAGGTTCAAAAGCGACAAAAAGCAGATGACTGAACTTTTTTTATCCTAACATTTCTGATATTTTAATCTCTAGAAATACAGTATATACCTCGGGATACAGGATATAGTTTGGGATATGACATGCAACTGCCAGGATGGTGGAAGGCAAACTAGATGGACCTTGGTCTTCCTTCACCTAGCAAATTCTTATGATCTTATATGATTAATATTTCTTCCCCTTAGTAGACTAAAATACAGCTCCGGACGCAAACCTTAGCCAAACGTTTCCCTTCTTCAGTAGACACCTGACGCTGACTGTCCAAATCAGTTTTGTTGCCCAGTAGGAGGACTGCAATATCACCATCAGCTCCTTCCTGTGGAAGCAAAGGCAAATACAGTAAAACCACACGTCATTTCATGCACAGTAAGGTTAGAATCGGAAGTATATCTGGCAGATCTTAAAAAAAGATTTTCTGTAATCCTTTCCATTGCTTATTAATTTTATTATTAAGGCGGTTTGTAATTGTCTCTATACACGTTACAAACGTAATGTTGTTTACACGTGGTTTACACAACTTTACAGTGTATTCTATGAAGGGCTTTGAGATTTTTATTATTTAAAATTATTCCCCATCAAAGTAGTTGCCGGTGTCTCACAGTAATTGTGACACTGCTTCAATTGCTTTGGATTATCATGCGATTGCAATGTTCCTTTAATGATACATTTCATTTCAAATTGGGAAATTCATGCTTAGCTCAAAATACAGAAGACAATCTGCCACAGCGCAAAGGACAACAGTAATAAGTTACTTAACCTGTACACTTGTCAGCCAGTGTCTCACTGCTGTGAAAGTTATCTGATCTGTGATATCATACATCACAACAACTCCATCTGCTTTTCGGAAGAACTGTTTTGTAATACTACGGTACCTGAATTACAGAAAACCATAAATGCACAGTCAATTATACTGAATAGAAGCCAATTGGAACATACTCAATAAGCTTTTTTCAAACAAAAATCCCCAAATCAATCAGATTTGCTTTATAATATTTATGTAAACATAGATTAGCACAAAATTACATAGAACTTTTCAGAACACAAATAGGCCATTAGGCTCAACTAGTCTGTACCAGGGTTTATACTGAAAATGGGACGGAGGGGCCAAGGTGGAGGGAATGAGGGAGATAGTTCCAAAGTTTCGGGGAGTAGTGGCTAAAAGCACGCCTGCTGATGGTGGAGCAGAGGGGACGAGGGAAAAGCAGGAGGTCGGAGCCAGTCGAGCAGAGGCAGCGGTGGAGTGGGGATTAAGCAGGTCGGGGAGGTAGGGAGGTACCAGGGCATGAAGTGATTTGTAGATGAGACTGAGGATCTTGAAGTCGATCAGTTCTGTGACAGGGAGCCAGTGGAGCCTAACGAGGACTAGTGCGATGGGGTTGGTACAGAGTTTAGAGCGGGCAAGTATATGGGCGGCAGAGTTTTAAATTAGTTGGGAGTTTGGATTAATTGGATAATGGAGCTGGGGAGACTGGCGAGGAGGGCATTGGAACAGTCGAGGTGGGAGCAGGACGAAAGCTTGAGGCTCCATCTCTAATGTCCTCTCCATTTCCTTCTCCCTCATGTTGACATCAAATTGCTGATGTTTTGTACTTCAACCACAACTTGCAGGACTGAGTGAGTTGCACATCCACAAGCTTAAAGTGAGAAGCAGAACAAAGTCTACTTAACAGAATAGGTGTGAACTTACAAAGTCATGAACAAACCACAAATATTCACACTATGCAATTCAATGCTGAGCTGCTAGTACAACTGAACAAGAGAGCGTGCTATTGGTTAGCAGTGTGATAGAGATAAATACAGTCTGAATAACTTGACCCTGGCTTAACTCGTCACTACCACTTAAGTAGCCACGTTGTCAATCTCCCGGCTGCTTCCCATGCAAAATATTATTAAGGGACTTTGCGTTACTTGTCATTTCACTTGACATGTAACTCATCGCTTTCTAGACATTCTTGTAAGTACTTACAATGTAAAATATTGATCAGATAGCTCGTCCTTTCAGATGGCGTCTTGCATCCCAAAGGCCTCTCACCCTCTGTCTTGCTAAATGGATACCAGGCGTAATATGTGTTGGTACATGCATGCTCACAATGCCCCCTTGTGGCCCCGGAGGGCTTATACATAACTCGCCACTCATAATAATAATCCTTGCATTTGATATAGCGCCTTATCACGTCGTTGAGACGTCTCAAAGTGCTTCACAGCGAATATCCAGGCTACTTCCCATGTAAAGTGAATTGACTGTATATTTTGTGGGCGAATAATTCGCAGTTGAGCCCTTTTTCCTTGCAGTGACGAGTTATCTGGAGTTTATTGGATTCCTGAAGTGCTTGAATATGCACAGATGCATCTATTTCTATACACTTATATATGCAACGTTACTCGTAGCAAACAGGAGTTTGTAAAAAGGTAAATAGCAAAAAGGTGGGTTTGCCTTTGCGTCCATTTGTAATGACAATTTATTTCCTTCAAAACATGACGACATAAATAACACTAATCGGTCATAGCCAATGTTTGAATCACCCCAATCACTTACCTTTCCTGCCCTGCAGTATCCCACAGCTGGAATGCCACCTGGCTTTTATCAACAGTGATGGTTTTGACACTGTAATCTATGCCTAAAAAAAAGCAAAGCAGTTTGTGCAAAACTATTTCCAAGTAACGTGAATAGATCTGAAAAAAAGCTGTTTTCATTTAATACACTGTAACCTGGTGAACTATACGAAATCATCAACTTTTAGACTGTCAGAAGCGCTTACAATATCAGTTGCATTGATGGAGTATTCAGAGCAAAAAGCCAATTTATATAACATGCTCTCCCCAATCACTCTCACCAGCAGCTAACAAGAGAAGTTAAGATCATGGAGTGTGCTCCACTTACTGACAACAACAACTTGCATTTATATATCGCTTTTCACGTGTGTAGTGTCTCGGAGCGCTTAACATTGATGTCGACCTGGAGATAGAAGGAAAGTGATCAACATTCAAAGAGGAAGGTCTTCAGATGTGATCTGAAGATGGGCAAGGAGCGGGTAAGGGGGAACAAGGCAGGGAGATCCAGAGATTCAGGGCAGAGTGACTGAAATCACAGCTAACGATGGTGGAGTAGAGAAGGGGAACAAGATTGGAGAGGATTGTTCATTGGGGTAGCTACCACCAGCACAAATACATTGGGCCAAACGGGTTTCTGTGCATTAAACGATCCATAATTCCAGGCACATTATTTCACATTAGCCATTAGTGGCCTGGGATTGAAGGGCTCGGTGAAGAATCAAGGTCCATAATGCAGGATTCCAAGATTGAAAGAGTTTCCCCCAGCGTTTTGCTCACTCGTGTGGATTTGTACCTGTGACATGTGATTCACAGGCTGTGTGTTTTATCTCAGAAGTTGCAATCCAGACGTTACAAGTAACACAATGAACATTGTACATTAAACCCCATCATCTGTTCATTGTTGAGTTAGTAACCCGAGGACTTACCGACGGTGGCACACATTCCATGGTGAAAACTACCATTGCAAAATCGTCTCAGGAAAGAGGTTTTCCCCACACTGGAGTCGCCAATACAGATGACTTTGAACAAACGGTCAGGGTTGCTACTTGATCGTTCTTGCTGATAAAATAGAAACATTTAGCTTGAAACACCACCAAACGACTTAAAAGAAAGACCAGTCTACGCTCAACTGGATCTCTATTACAACGTTTACTGCAAAGTGTAGTGACTGTGGATGTGTAGGTGAACATGGTAGCCAATTTGCACACTGCAAAATCGCTCCAACAGCCAAGTAATAATAATAATAATCCTTGCATTTGATATAGCGTGTTATCTACAAGACTTTTCGAAGCGCTTCACAGGACATACTGTAAAGTGAATTGACAGTATATTTTCGAGGCAAAGCACGATAGCCAATTGCGCACAGCAGTGTCCCACAAACCGTTGTGGATTGAGTGACAGGGCATATTAAGTACAGGACACGGAAGCAGGATATGGAACAACTAACATGTAAAATATGAAGCTGGGGAAAAGGAAACCATAAAAAAGGGCAGTTATGAAAGTAAAACAAGTAGCCAACAGGACCATTATTGGGACTGGATTCACTGCAGTAGAGACAGTTAAGAGAGTGCTGAGGATTATAAAAATGTTCGAGAGGGAAAAGAGTGAACGATTATTCCCAATGAAATTGGCAACAAATAAATTCAAGATTATGACCAGAAGCAGCGGAGGAAGTCAGAAGAATGTAATAGTTATTAGCATCTGGAACGTGTTATCATAAACTGACTGTTTGAAGCCAGGTCAATATTTGAAGAATGGATATGAAAGGCTAAGGGAAAAAAATGAGAGGAAATGGATTTAGAGCAGATAGCTCCAGTGGGAAAGAAGAAACAACACAGAGATAACGAACTGAGTGACAAAACATAATGTAAATCTAACGGATGCTCTTGAAATGCACAACTATGTCCGTTTCGGTATATTTCTCCTTTGGTGATGACATTGTTATGATTTCCTTTCACTCCCTTAAAATACTAACTGGTCTTGTTACAATCTTGAAAAGCTCATCACTGTTTGGTGCGTGTGGTGTGTGTATATGTATGTAGCACAGGAATTGGAGTTGGCCGTTGTGCCATTCTATTGGGGGAAGGGTGGGGTTGTTCACACCTCAAAGAACTACTGTAAGCGACCTCTTTAAGTTTCTCAAAGACTTATAAAGGAGTTGAAAAACAAGAAGAAACACAATGAGAAACATGTAGTTGAGCAGTACGCTGCTTAGAAAAGAACGAGAAAATATTAAACTTAAATATTGAAATGCAAGTTAATGTTAAATGAGCAAAATATGAGCATAAATTGCAAAACATAATCCAAATCCAAGTTGGTGCTGATAAAATACACAACAATCAAACTTTTATTTTTCCTGGTAACAGTAAATGAACAAAGACGGCCGTCATAACATTGAAACAATGCAAAACATAACGCTGATAGTTTAAAATAAGAAGTAGAACTGTGTGTTATTCACACATCAATTAAAACTACAATTTAATTATTTTGTAACACGAACAGCCAGATGGACAGTGGTTTCTGTTCCTGTCCATTCCTACGTACCCATAAATGCAAGTTGTTATTGTACTAATGTAAGATTATATCCCATATTTCATTTTGCCTGATGATTTTCCTCCAATTTTCTTCCCTCCTCACCTTATCTCCCGAAGGTACTTGATTCCTTTATTCCTTTTACAAGGGTTAAGGTTCCAATACCGCTGACCATTATTTGAGCGTTAACAGTGAGGGTTGAAAAGCTATTTGACTCCATGGACTTCAGTTGAATCCAATCCTGTCCTCACCTGATGTCCATACACCAAGGGCAGATATCCTGGCTGAGTTTTCCCTTCCTGCCCCAGACGTTCCCAGGTGCTGCTCATATTAAATTTACAACACTCTGTCACACACCAAGCTCCTTTTACCTGATAAGCCATCAGAGGTCCTATACAATCATACATTGGGGAAATTAATCTTGTCTCAAAACATAAGTGACCCCGGTGTTTAAGCTTACTTGCCCTCCAATGCTTTATACATACAAATTACAATAAGAAATGGCATATAACCATATTCTAGTCTGGGGAAAAATCTGAAAATCCACCCCAAGAATATCTGTCTCACTAATTCCCATTTTCTTATGCAATACTAATTATTGTTGTAGGTTTTGGTCATCTATAATTCCAATTATCTTTCTATTTGTTAAATCATGTACGACTATAATGACAACAACAACTTGCATTTATATAACGTCCTTCTTGCAGGATAGTAACTGACTACTGGCATAACATATTCATAACTACTCATCATAACTGGTAAGTGCAGAGCGAGAGAGAAAAATTAACTTACTGGTGCCAATGATTCTTTGCCGATTGGTTGTTTCCTTGGGGATGATGGAATTTCATCATCAGAAATCTTTTCAGCTTCTTTTTCTTTCTCCTTCGTCTCCACCTACATGCAAACATTTAATTACATCAGCCTGATTCAGTTGGTAGCCCGCTTGCCTCTGACTCAGAAAATTTTGAATTCAAGCCTCATGTCAGGACTTCGAACTCAAAGTCTAAGCTGACGCTCCATTGCAGCGCGGGAAGTGTGCTGCATTGTTAAGAGGTGTCATCCTTCAAATGATGGCATTAAACTGAGGGCCCATCGAAGATCTCACTCCAATACAGTTTTGCGGGTGTGCTGCAATGTTAGAAATGCTGTCCTTCAGATGAGACGTTAAACCAAGGTCCCGTCTACCTGGTCAGGTGAATGTTAAAGATCCCATGGTACTAATCAAAAAGAGAAGGAAGTTTCTGCCAGTGTCCTGGACGATAATCCCCCAAATAAAATAAAATTGGTCATTCTCTTAATGGCTATTTGTGGGACATCACCCGTTTCGCCCACAAAATACACAGTCAATTCACTTTACAGTATATTCTGTGAAGCGCTTTGAGATCATCCGAAGATGTGATAAGGCACTATATGAAATGCAAGGATTATTATTATCACTGTGTGCAATGTCCACAAAAACACAGTTGCTCTAATTTACAGTATATCCTGCCATGTCCTATACCAAACGCAAGAATTATTATTACCTGGCCTTCGTTTTCCATCTCGCCCTCCTCCTCAATCCAATCATTTAATTGTGTTGGGAGATGGGGTTCCAGTAGATCTGGAAGATGATCTTCTTCGATCGAAATGATTCTCTGCAAGCCTCGTCTTCGGGACTCTTTATTATCGGTTGTTTCCTTGTGGATATCATGTCTACAGTGAGCACAGGGCATTTATAGGTAAATAACTATTATTCGAAATATGTTTTCCTTTGGAATTTGTTTGAAAATACTCGGCAAACTCTGAACTCTCTTATGGCTCAGGACAGCAGGGGATGTGATGGCAGCGATTGACACGGGTGAGAGGATTTGGGCTTTGGCGTTTGCAGGCTATGGTTGTGCAATGTCAGGACATGAGAACTGCAGGCACTCTGAGTGTGCACATCAACAACAACTTGCATTTATATAGTGCCCTTCATGGGTTGGGGGCAGTGTCTCAGAGCGCCTAACAGTGGCGGAGCACTGCGCCAAGCCGGGGGGGGAGGGAGGAAGTGATCGTAAGCACGGTCAAAGTGAATTGACTGTATATTTTGTGGGTGAAACGGGTGACGTCCCATAAACAGCCATTAAGAGAATGACCAATTTTATTCCTCTTCAGTCTTGATCTGAAAGAGGGGAAGGAGGGGGAAAGGCGGCATTGAACAGAAAACATCAGTATTGAACAGAAAATAATGTCAACAATAACAAAATAATATGAGCAGGAATTCACCTGTTGACAGGAGGATTGATGTTGATATGATGGTCAACAACTAAGGGAACTTTTTGATTCCTGGAGATGGCAGGTGGCTGCGAAATGAACAGAAGGTTGATTATTAATAATAATAGTCCTTGCATTATCAAAGGGGCACAGGAGGAACTCCCTCATAAAGCTTTGTAATAATTCATTTATTTTCGAGGCAAATACAATGTTGTTACAGCTCAAGAGCTGAAATAATTTCTATACATAGATATGGAAGCTAATTTGAGCACCTCTGATTTCAGAAATTGCCCCTGCAAGGAAACCGATTCCTACCTTTATATTAGTCAAACACATATCCCGTTCATCTCGAAGAACCTTGTTCATTTCTCTGCAGAACATTTGAAAAAAATTGCAATAAATAAATGTCTTGAACTTGTTTTGCAAGAAACTTTGCACATTCTTTACTGCATAATTCTTAGTTAATCCTTGATTAATCATTGAGTAAACTATAGCGGTAAAGTGAATTGACTGTATATTATTGAAAATGACCAATTTATTATTATTATTATTAGGCGTGTGGGAAAGGCAGATAAATGGGAATGAAAGGATTGCTCTTCAACAGATATAATGCCTAATTTGATATAGTGCTTTGTCACATTGTCAGGACGTCTCAAAGCTCTTCACATGATATACCTTAAAATTGACTGACTGCTTATATTTTGTGTATCCCCTGCCTGCACTATGTGATAAGGCATTGCCACTTGTTATATGCTTTCACATTTCAAAATGTCTTCATGTAGTGGAGAACAGGTTTGCACAACAAGGTAATACAACTGAGAAGAGAGTCCAAGCCCAGCTATAGTTCATTGCAGATTGCAATCTCTTACCTGAGGAGATCTAACTGTTTCAGAAGACCTGTCTTCTCCCTTTCCAGACCTTCAGTAACTCTATAGAGCTCCCTGAAGAAATACAATTAAAATACAAGTTAATGTGCTGATCAATCTCATAAAGGAGTTTTTCTCTCACACTAACACAGTAAGAGATTTTCAGCAACTCTCTGCATGAGTCAAAACAATGAAGAACAGGAAATAAATTGATCAGCTTCGAGCTCCAGATCAATAATAATCCTTGTATTTGATATAGCGGCTTATCACGTCTTCGAGATGTCTCAAAGCACTTCACAGCCAAAAGCTGAATATACTTTGAAGTGAATTGACTGTATATTTTGTGGGTGAAACCCGGCAGCCAATTACACACAGCATCTACTTTCAGGACAGAAGTGGCTTTGCTTCTGTATCCTTCAAGTTATAAACATGATTGCATGGCGTGTGACCTTAACATTAGAAATGCAAATTGTACGCTATATAAATAGCTTGTTCATGTATTTCCTAGAATAGTCTTAGGTTCAAAGCAAAAATTATTTATTTATTTATTTTGCAGACAGGCATTGTGTATTTTGCGGTGGCAGCACTCACATTTCTCTTTCATCTTGAAGATGGGAAGCTTCTTTGTGCAGTAACTGCAGTTGATGCTGGGCATACAGTAGCTCGTGGCCAGTTTGGTCCAACTCGTTCCCCAACTCGTCGTTAGTTTCCTTCAGTTTTTTATTCTCCACCCTTATCTCTTGCTTTTCACTGGACAGTTTCTTGCACTGTTTCTCTAGCTGACGTGGAGGTTAAGCAAATTAAACAACAATGAAAACAAGATCATGAGAGATTCGGTTAAAAAAAAGCCCTTCAGTTCATTTGGTCTCATCTTTTCAGAACACCTGCATACTATACCGTGTATACCTACATATACACTGGGTTCCCATTTATCAAATGCAAAGATTATTATTACTGTTGTGTGCAATTGTCTGCCAAGTTTCGCCCACAAAATACACAGTCAATTCACTTTACAGTATATCCTGTAAAGTGCTTTGAGACGACTCAATGACTTGCTATATCAAATACAAGGACTATTATTATTGTTATTATTATGATTCCACTACCTGTTTCTGCTTCTGAATGAGATGTTCCAATTCTCGTTCTTTAGCTTTTAGCTCAGATTCCAGCTTTTGGCTTTGAATATTAAACATCTCTGTGTCCTGGCCAGAAGCATTCAGATAGGAGCACAGAGAGAAAAAAAATTCAATTGGTAATTGAACAATGACTTTTGAATAGTAACTTCATTTATTTCATCAGATATTAAGCATCCTTATTTAATAGCTTTTACCTTATTAGACAGTTTGTCTTGCTCACTTTTAATCTGCTGTTCCATTTCCTCGTAGAGATATTCTATTTCTTCACCGTGTTCAGTTGTCTTTCTGAAAACAAAGGATATTTATTTACTGATCATCTTTTTGATTGATTTTCTATGTACTGCATTTGCGTTTTTGTTAAACATACTGCACAAAAAGGAGAGCTTAAGGGGAATTTCTTCAAGCAGAAGAGCTTAAGGGGAAGAACTTAAGGGGAAGCATATAAGACATTAATGACGTAGAGAAAGAACAACAACTTATAGCACTCTTCACGTAGGATAAAGTCTCTGAGTGCTTCACAGTTACAGGCTTGGATGCTGAGCAGAGTAGCTACCCACTGAGATTGTGTTTTGTTGCAACTTTGCACAAACCTTTTCAGAACAAATTCTATATTCTCCTTTTCCTCATTGGCTTGTCGGATCAGAATTGAAACCCTTCTTAGGAATTCTTCAAAGTTAGTAAGTAGTTGTGGTTCATCTTTTCTAAGTTGTGCCCAAAGGTTTCTTATTTCATTTTGGCTGAAAAAGGCGCAAACGTTATCATTAAAAAAAAGGAATGATCAAGACATGTAAAGCATCTAAATCTGCAAAGCTGTGTTTCTACTTTAAAGGATACAGAAACAAAGCCACTTCTATTTAGCATTCTAACACTGCACCTGGGTTTTGATCAGTAGATAAAAGTTTTCACGTTTTATTTTAATGCGAATTCTAGACATACTTTTCAAAGAGGTTCTTTGCTCCCAGGGTTTCCATAAGCCTATAGAAATGACTTTCTTCATCATCTTCAACTGGCGACAATTGCTCTTCACACTGCGACTGGTACAGAGATTCATCCTGATGCTCTTCTTCCTTTGTCTCGTGAACAGTAATCGTTTCACCAAATAGGAACTCACCTAAACACCAAAACAAACTCGTCAAATCGAAAGTGGTGCCTCCATGCTAAACGGCATAAAATACCAATTTATTGGTCAGACATGTGAATATTTGTTGCTAGAGTAGCTGCATGTGTTATTTTGCGCCTGGTTTGGATACCCTTAAGTATGGTGATGACGAGTTTCCATATGTGTCGGACACCCAGCTGACTAAAAAAAATTATTTTGTCTTGTGCTTTTATGTTATATTTAAAGTTATATTTATTCTGGCCCAAAGCATTGCATAAACACGTTTTTTCCACTTTGTAATCAATCGTACATCTAAATATTTGCAAGTACCATGAATTGAGATATTTTCTCGTGAACTTACCAAATCCTGTCGTAAATTCCTTCAGGGTAAGATAACCATTACCATCTGCATCCAGCATATCAAAGACATTCTCCAGCTCATCAGACCCTAGAGGCAACTCACTGTCAAGCCGCTAAGAAAAAAAACAAGTTCATTCACAAACACATATGGCATTTTTTTGTGTTAAATTGTATTGAGTTCCCAGTGCGAATACAATTTACTCCAGAGATAATAACGGTTATGATTTGATCGACAGCATCCTTCCACAATTAATGCAAGTTAGGATGCAATGTAGGCCCACATATCCTCTACAGATAACTGTTTTCTGATACGTACTGTTTATGTTTTTTCTAAGTGATTGACAGAACAATACCCGAAAAGGAGTTAGTCAACAACTGTATAATTTAAGGTGCAGACAAGATTTTGTTTCTTTGTTTATCTGACATTCTCACATTTGAAAGAAATGTTCTGTGTGGCAATTGTACATTCCCTGACTCTCATTCCACTGCTTCTGTAATCAATTACAGTATTCAGACTATTTAGGTGTCAGAGTTAAGTCTTGTTTCTGTGCAATCTGAAACTAGGTGTCATTTTCAAACCTTGAATATAAAACACAATGTGATTTTGCCAAATGCCCCAAAGTACAATTGTATAAAATTACAATTCCATTTATTTTCAAATAGCATAGATGCCATATATATATGTTTTAATTATCAGTGCATTTCCTCTAAATTGCTCCTATTCCTATGCTATCCTACCTTAACGCCTCATGTTGTGGAATAACATAAGTAGAAGAGCGATTCAGGGAAAGTGCATTGACAATTTAAAAATATACTTCGTAATTATTGTTATTGAAATTCAAATTTCAATAACAACAGAATTGTATTTAAATAGGTTTCAGGAACTATTTGTTGTCAAGTGGTACTATTTCTAAACTAAATTTATTATTATTTGCTGGCAACACTATAATGAAAGCCTATTCAGTGTGTTCTCCTTGTATTTAACATGTCCTCTCGATTGAAAGCTACTTAATTTGTTTTCAGGTACTGCCAATTTTTGTTATTTTCATTTACATCATGAGTCACACTAACAAACATTGCTGTATTTTTAAGCATATGATGTATTCTGCGTGAGCAAACAAAATATCCAGAACTTTGATGTTAATATAGATTAAAAGGTTAAAGTGCAAAATTCCCGTCACTCCTGTTTTATATAGAGTAAGCTTTTTGGGTGAGGTATAATGCTATAATTGTTATTGTAAGAGTTCATACTCAAGATAAATATCATAAGAATCATTTATGTGCTTTACAGATGTTTCCTGTATCCAACACTTCATTTCACTGCTAATTTCTAAACAAACCTTTGCTCAACTAGTAAGAATAGATAACACTTATTTTATGTTGAATTTCAAAGTTATAAATAACTTGAGTAAAACACAGGCAAGCAAGACCATGGAAGGCTTTAAAGGTGAGGACAAGTGACTGTGTTACACAATGGAATTAATATTATTAAGAATTAAACCTCTTTTCTGGCTTGACCTTTTCACTAATCTAAGCTAATATATATTTATGCAATCTCTGAATAAAATGCCAATTCATGCCTGAATATAAAGCTAGCGTGAGCATCAGTTGTGAATCCAGAGTTGCTAAAGCACGGATTGAGCTGTTGAAAATCTATGAGTTTTGTCTCCTATTACATGTTCTTCATGTATTTCCGTGCTTCAAGCAATCGCTTGGGGTGAATTACATGAATTATCTGTCCAAGTTATTACTTTACTGGCTATACCTGCTTGTTGTGCCAAATATATTTCTGTCTTAGTAAAACAACCCTGCATCCCTTTAAAATACTTAGAACATTGCTTAGGAACAGGTCAAAACAGTACCAAATACATTTTTTAAAAAGTACAAAGAAGAACATGTATTAAAAATGGGCTGAGCAAATTTTTAAGTTAGTTTAGAAAAAAATCCTTTCTCACTATTTCAATGATGAAGTAGTAAATGTATGCAACAGGTTCCCTAGGAAGCTGGTGCAATCAGAAAGGGTTGATTCTTTCAAAAGAAAATTAGAATTATTTTAGGAAATAATATCTCGGGATATAGTATATAGTTAGGGACACAACATGTGTATGCAACTGCCAGGATGGTGGAAGGCAAACTGGATAGACCTTGGTCTTCTTTCATCTAGCAATATTGTGGACTGGTGTTTTTATGTTCCTTTTTAGGTTATTTTACTGACTGCAGATGACAACTTCATGGCAGGTCCTCAGGGGAAAAATACCAATATACAGCGTAGCATAAAAGTATATACAGCAGCTGTTATAAAATAAATAGTTACATAGATAACATGCTAAGAACTAATGTGTTTTCTATGGGTGGGATTGAACACCTGACTGATTACTCATGGAACCTTGCCAAATTCAACAATAAATTGAAAATAGTCTGAAGTTCTTCATGTAATACCAGCACAAGGCCTGGCATTTCACTTTGTCTTGTCAAACATCCTTATCAGATAATATTTGACCACAAACACACTCCCAGATACCTGGCCGTTCCTGGACCAGGCTGCACTGTAACGTATAGTCCAAGGTGGAGCTGCGATCAACTCAGTGCAAAGCTCCATTGTGTTTAGTGGGCGTTGGAGTTTCAAGCCAGCCTGAGATATGACCTGAATCAGGGCAATCTTTAACATATAAAGTTCTGGGGAAAATCTCTACCAGCCCCCAGGGATTCGCCAGCAATATTTTCAAAATTTCCCACCAGGAAATTGTCCTTCCATAATAATAAGAAGAATATGAATAATGGTAATGGTGATTTTTTTCTATTGAAAAAGTTTTTCTTTCGTCATCATTGCACTGCACTTTTTTTTAAACTAGAGCAAGAAAAAAAAAAACTTCACTTTAATTTTTCTGTTAAGTTACAAGACTGGTTATTCCTGACAGAAGCAAAGGTTTACCGCGATTCAAAATGTGCGTATTGATCGTGCCCACAATTAGGTCAATAAACATTGTTCATTAAGAGTTTCTTATATTCTCAGTCTGGTTTGGGTATTCTTAAGCATGGTGATGGGGTTCCACATGTGTCAGACACCCAGCTGATCAAAAACAAATCTTATAATCCTATATTTCATTCAAACTAGATTTTCTTAGTTATTTTTCTGTCTAACCACAACATACATCTTTAAAAATGGCTTAAGGCCACACTGCGGCGTCCTAAAGTGGATAATGGATGGAACTGAAAAGCAGACTGATTGTTTTCACACAACTAAAATGATTAATAGTTCGCAAACAGTGAACACAGAGAAACTGTGACAAACGTAAAAGGGAAGCAAAAGGTTCCAGATTTATTCAACTTTAGCGCTCGTAAGAGCAAAAACAGAAAAAAATGCCAAGGTCTTATTAGTAATAGAAGAGGCTTCATTAAGCTTCGTCTGTTTATGATTTTGATGTTAAATCTTTTCAAGCAGCTTTTTATAAAGTGCTGATATTCATAAATCATTCAAAGTGGCATCAAAAGGGCTAATTACTGTTCATCACCATCCTAGCTCTCACGAGCAACATACTATTCTGATGAGTTTTCCTTTATTCAGCTTTTCGTACCAATTCTCCTCTGGATTTGTTTCAGACATATTTAATGAACTTGCTGAACTCTAATTTTGCTATAAAATTTTCAGGGTTGAATACTGTAAAACAAACTTGGGAAATTAACAATCTCATACATACACTATACATTTTAATTCACATTATTCAGGTATATTTTGCATTGTCGGTTGAAAACGATATATATTGCGGTGCTCAAAAATGTTAAATGTAAATAAGTAACAAGCTTTCATATACTGCCATTCACGTTCCCAAGTTCACAGAGTGAGCCATGCAAAAAATACGATTAATGCAAAGATGCCAGTCCCACTTAATTTTAAGAGAACTTTGATTTTTGGGGCCATCTGCACAAATATCAAAACAAAAACTGAATTTACAATACATAAATGCTACATTTTATGATTGAAGTTTGTCAGAGCATTGTTCCAAAAGGCCGTACGTAGAGAATCAATGATGATATTTAAAAAGGAGATGAATAGATACTTAGGAAGAAAGTCAGAGAAAATGGGATTAAAAGATCTTTTAACCAAAACAATTAATGCTCCTTTTCATCAATTTATAAAGAGGCAGTTTGGAGTATTGAAGCAATAAAAAAAATCAACTCTATCTTTTAAAATACAATTGATTAACAACTCCCAGAAACAAGACAGTAAGTGAACTTCATAAGTGTAAGAGCATCTTCACTCACCCGCATGTCTTTTCTGGCAATAAATCCCTTATCTTCCTGGTCGCAGATCCGGAAGAACTCGTGTGCTTTCTGCATCAGGGTGGCACGTCCTAAACCCTGGAACTCTGTGCTCTCAGAGTCTACAGCTACCCCATCTCGCAGTGTTGATGGGCTGAAGTTGGCTTCTTTAATTCCAGCTGTCCTGCTTTCGCTGGCTGCTGTTCGCTTTTCCAAAGCTGCCATAACAATCCCTCCCTAATAACCTGAGCATTGAAGGCTACATTGAGCATCGGATCAGAGTCTTTCAGTGATGTTCTTTCTGCACCATCTCTTAGCAACAGCCTCTTCAATTAGCTTGCGTTGCTGGAAAAAGCAAAACCTTTTTATAATCCTGGCTTTGTGTTTTTTTAATAAGCTGGGCTCTTCAGTTAGCTGGGATATAATTTTATGTTCTAAACACAGTAACATTAAAACTCAAACTGGTTAGTAAAGCTACGGGAATTACAGTGCCAAATGATCAGAAATATCAAACTCAAGTAGAGCATGAAAAAGTTACCATAGAAATACTGGGTGTGCTATTTGACTAATGAGCTTAATGTGAAAAGTTACCTTATGTGTGTTATTATACTAACAAATATGATATGAAATCTTACCATAGAAATATGTTATTGAGTAACAAGTATAATATGAAGGTTATCATAAAAATATGTATTATTAACAATATGTGTTATAAGATTAACAAATAGAATATGAAAAGTTACCATGAACTATGTTAGAATAACGAAGTTATCATAACATAGAAATATGTTATGAGAATAACACATAGAATATGAAACGTTACTATAGAAATAAATTTTTAAAATTTTTGCATTTGATTTGACGTGACCTTATCACGTCTTCGAGACATCTCAAAGCGCTTCACAGAATATACAGTCAAGTGATTTGATTGTATATTTTGTGGGCAAAACGCAGCAGCCACTTACACACAGCAGCGTCCCACACACATTAAGTGACAAAAAATTTTTTTGAAGGAATTATTAATCCCGGAAAAGCAATCAGCCAATCGACTAACAACCGATTTCCTACTTACTGATGGGTAAACAGAGGCGTATGGAGTAAGGAAACTTGCCCAAAGTTTGGCCCTGCAGGAATCAAACCCAGGTCTCTCACTTGCGAGGCGAGTGCTCTAACCACTAAACTACAGGACTCCAGCTACCACTAAGCTACAGAATTTGTGTTATTAAACTACAGAACTTTTCAAATAAGTCCCATAATGATGTCAGCCTGGTTCAATTGTCAGTGTTTTGGGCTCTGAATCAGAGATTGTAGGTTAAAACTTTGAAATCATAGTGTAGGTTGACATTCTCGTGCAGTGGTGAGGGCCACTGCATAGTTGAAGGTACCATCCCTCAAATGAATGTTAAACAGAAGTCCTGTCTGCTTGTTCAGGTGGACAAAATACACAGTCACCACACTTTACCGTAAATTGCGAGAAGCACTTTGAGACGTTTTCCTGACCCAAAACATGGTCAAAGCACGGTCGAAGAGGAAGCCTTTCAACAACGACAGCTTGGATTTATATAGCACCCTCCACGCCGGACGGCGTCTCAGAGTGCTTCGCAGTAACCAATCCCAGGACCGAGCCAGGGGGAGGGGGAGGGGGGGAAGGTGACTAAAGGCGCGGTCGAAAAGAAAGGTCTTCAGCAGAGACCCGAAAATGGAAAGGGAGGGAGCGAGATGAAGGGAGTGATGAAGGGAGTTCCAGAGCCTCGGGGAGTAGTGGCTGAAGGCACGGCCGCCGAGGGTGGAGCAGAGGACTCGGGGGACAAGGAGGAGGCCAGACCCGGAGGAACGAAGGCAACGGGTACTGTGCTGAAAGGAGAGGAGATCAGAGAGGTAGGGGGGTGCAGAGCCTTGAATACGAGGGTGAGGATCTTGAAATTTCAGGTGGGGAGTTGAAAAAAGGGGAGAAAGGGGGCAAGGCGGAGAGATTGAGGGAGATTGTTCCAAGATTTCGGGGCATAGTGACTGAATGCATGACCTTCGATGGTGGGGAGGAGGCTGCGAGGAACGAGCAGGAGGCCGGTGCCAGTCGAGCGGAGGCTCCAGGTGTTGAATTGGAGAGTGAGGAGGTCAGAGAGGTGGGGAGATGACAAAGAGCGAAGGGATTTAAACACAAGTGTGAGGATCTTGAAGTCGATCGATTCGGTGATGGGAAGCCAATGTAGCCTGGGCCAGAACTGGTCAGATGTGTGTATGGAATTTGGTCCGGGTCAGTATGTGGGCGGCAGAGTTCTGAATGAAGACACAGTCATTATCCCAATGTGACAATAATCTTATCCTTCAGTTTTATCGTAGCTTTACAATAAATACAATGAAGCGTTTTGAGATGTCTTGACATCCAAATGAAACGATTATTATTACTCATTGATTTCTACCCACATTATTTAGTCAGCGATTTCATGTGCTGATCATATGCAATTTCAAATATGAACATTATTTGGCGAAAATATACTTCCATCACAGGAGCGTGCAAGATAATTGGCCATACACGTGACCAAATGAAAAAGAAGAACTTGCTAAAATTTGAACAACGACAAAAATAGGATGTTCATTCTTAAAAGAGACACTAGCCCTTATGTTGCCCTCTTTCTTTTGTCCATTTACAAAACTGACTAATAATGGAGATGTAACTGTCTCCAAGACAACCCTAACAGCACTAATGGACCAAATCCCAGGCCAATTTGATGAGGTACTGAAGGAGAAAACAAAATGTATAAAAGAAAATTTACATAGCACTTACGAATGGCATTGAAATTCTGAACTTTTGGAAATGGATCACAATGCAGTCTCAAAATATCAGCGGAAATGGAGCATAAAAAGTTGCAACATACGAGGGATGACCTGATTTATTTTTACCAATCTATAGATCTCACTCTGCGTTGTTAAATTGTGATTATCCATTTGTTTCTTTATTGGATCTGACAAATTGCACTTCCTTCATGCCTTTTTCAAGAACAAATATGCACATCGCAATTTGAGATGACGGAATTGAGCTGGGCTCTCCCTTTGCAACGCATTGATTCTTTCCAATTCAAAGGGATAAAAAATAGGGTTTTGTATGGCTCCATGATAGCATTGCGGACATTCTTACCGTACAAGGCCAAGGTTACAGGTTCAAATCTGTGCTGAATTAGCTCATATCAACCAAGACAATATGTGCGCAATTAGTTGCCACGTTACAGAATATCCTGTGCAGAGCTTTGAGACATCTTGAAGGATAGAATACATATTTGATAGAATAATGCAAGGATTATTATAGGATTATTAGGACAGCAGTTAGGGTGCCTCAATTGTCTTCAGCACCCAGGTTCAGGAGGAGAAAATCAACCAGGGACCCATCTGGAATGTGCATGGGTTGAAATGCAATGTACTCAGTGTAGTTTCAGAGGAGAAGAATGGGAAGAGAGATAGTTAAAGGTAAACAACTGACAAAGCAAAAAAAACAATTACAGGTCTTTGTTCCCAGACATTCACATCATCGGGACTTTGACTCCTTAAATATGGTCAATTTCCCCCGTTACATATACATGGAGAGAATCTGAAACAACGGAACTCATTCCCATCTTTAGCATAACCTTGATGAGTCATTTTAATTAAAAATATTCTCCCTCGATTATTACACTGGCTCCAATTGCTCCCAGTTCAAACCCTTTGATCTACATCAAGGATTTTGACTTGATTAAAATCTATTTTACATGACTATCTCTTTGCAGAACATCAATGAGCATAAACTGACGCATCCTCTATGGAACCTGTACCCACTACCAAACCCACTTTATTTTCAGTCCTCTTTTTCCAGAAGCAATGTGGAGAAATCTACCAGTTTAAGCTACTCTTATCTTTGCATTTGGAGACAATGTCACACTTTTTCTATAATAATAATAATAATCCTTGCATTTGATATAGCGCTTTTCACGTCGGGAGGACGTCCCAAAGCGCTTCACAGAACACACTGTAAAGTGAATTGACTATACTCCTGAATCCGTTCCCAATGTTCAATTTGTTGTTGTTTGTGAGAGAACAAATTAGATAGGTTTCTGCTTGACAATAATATCTCGGGATACAGTATATAGTTTGTGACACGACACAAGGTGTCAAAGAAAAAAAATACTTTGAATCGACAGTGCTCCTTCAAAGACAGTGCATACAAATGTGGCAACGCAGGTGACAAATGCTATCAGTTTTCAATTTCAATTGAAGTCAATTTACCCTTCGTCTTTTGTAATTCAAAATCTTGACTTTCTTTGCCATTTTGTATCTTGACAGCCATATGGTAAATGCCGTAGAAAACATGCTTCACCTGTTTGTTCTTGAACTGCTCCACCATTCTGCCACAACTAGAAGTAACATACCCACTAATGCAAATTTACATCAGTGTCATTGAACTAAAGTCTAACGCCCTAACTTTCAGTAGGCGGTTTCGTCACTTAAAAGGTTGAATTATTCATTGTATGAAAACAGATTTATTTGGGAGAATAAAAGGCCCAAGTGCTTCGTTTCTACTTATAAACGACTGTTTGTGGGACACTGTTGTGTGCAATTGGCTGCCAGGTTTCGCCCACAAAATATACAGTTAATTTACTTTACAGTATATTCTGTGAAGCACTTTGAGACGTCTCAAAGATGCAATAAAGTGCTATATCAAATGCAAGGATTATTGTATTATAATCTCAACCGAATCTATTTTCAGGGGCCCTGCGCAACATAAAAGTGCAGCCTCGTTATAATCAATGGTGTGGAGGGCTTTGAGATTTCTTTCTGTCTACATTATGAATGGGGAATGCTGCGATATTTGCTTGCCTATCAGGTAAGAACCGTGTGAATCCACGGCTGTTTGTGCTCTGTGAATGGGAGTGAGTCATGCTAATTGGTTTGCTTGTGGATCTCTTTGATACAGAATCTAACTAACCTGCTCAAGGTACAGTAGAGGATTTGGTTGCACATTGTGACAAAGCACAGCAATGAATAGGTTTCAGTTGTGAACATCATGAAAAGGACAAAAAGCTGCTGTAAACAAATCAGGGTGGAAAGGCACAGTGGTTCATCCAACTCAGCAGGGGCAACAACATTTATTTTAGCTTTGTTGATGATCGAGATACCATCATGAGGGTTCACTTTTTTTGCAGATGTAATCTACGTTGCAAAACAATTGCTGTGGTTAACATTGCACTGAACCTGAAACACAATAGTCCAGGAAAGTAAGACTCCATAAGAAGGAAACAATACACCTTCAATAGTTAATTACTGCCTCTGACAGAAACAGAGGCATTGTCACACACAATGGCTGTAAAGGACTTGGACGAGGGGGTAGAATTCCACGAGGGTCTAGATTTACTCTATTATTAGCATAGCATTTCAGATTACGCAGAAACTGGCAAATTGCTGAATTTAGTTTTAACTTTGCAGCCCAAGTTATGTAGTTCTTAAAGGTACTTGCATAAAATAGCTTGAAAATTAGTAATATTTAAGAATTTAACATATTTTCAACACTCTGAAACACTACATTCATACATCAATCTAGAACAAGGTGGAATTTTACCCTGAAAGTTAAGATGACCGAGCTCTTCAAATTTGCTGAAGGTGCCAAAACAAGATGGAGAGCGACAATTGGGGAACACTGTCTATAGGACTCACTCGTTACAAATCCTTCTGTGAATTGTACAAATTAGCCAGTATTATTCTAATATGAGATACTTGCCAGATCTCATCTGGTGCTGTATCCCAAGAAAATTTTGGTGGGGGGAGTCAGGGGGAAGTATATTCTCCCATTGACTTAGCATCTGGGAGAATTCTTCTCCTTGGTTGCCTAAAATTGGGAAGAATTATATAATTGCACGGCTGCTTTCCGTTATAGAAAAGAAGGTCAGGCTTGTTAAAAACAACTTGAAACCACACTTGACCCTCGCTAAAAGGCCGAGAAGTGATGCAAAAGATTACTTAAGACACGAAACAAACCCAGACCACAGAATGATTTGCAAGAGGATTACAAAATGCCTCCAACTTTGATGGTTGACAAGATAACGGGGGAAAAATTCAAACAGTGTAGTGTGCAAAAAAATATCTGGGGGAAAATATTCCTCACAGTAAGAGGTTTGCCATGCCTAACAGATAAATACCTGGAATATTGATGTTCTCTATCTGAGGGCACAATATTTATCAAAAGTCCCATTTGAAACATTATGACAATTTGTTCAGCGCCTCGGGACATCCTCCTGATGTGAAAGGCGCTATACAAATGTAATTTGCTGTTGTTTCACTAATAAACACTCTGTTGCATTCAAAGTCTGTAGAGTGGCTTTACTTTACATTAATTACAAAAACACAAATGAAAGGAATAACTACCTTGTGATTGGAAAGACGTTGAGCAAAATATAGTAGAATATTTTACAAGACAGTAACTAACACCTGTTATGGACTGTGAAAGACAATTGCAAACATCCTGGAGCAGAGAAGAAAACAGTTGGCTCACAGAAATCATGTGATTGAAATTCAAGGGGTGAGTTAACTATTCCCTGTCTATTTATCTGGAAGTACCATTTATCCATCTTCTCAAAATTTCTTCCCGATTCCCGAGGGAAGTCAAACAAACTCTAGGATTGGCTGAACCACCACCAACACAACAGCATTGCTCAAAATTCCCTTTACCTGTTACATCCCCACCAGCTCTTAGGAACTCCCCCAACAGTAATTTCAGAATTCCCCACCAGTAAATTCCACTTGCATAACAATAATAAATAGCAATTTTGTTGGCAGTTATCCAGCGGTCACCGCTGAGGCAGGTTTTACAGAATTTTATTTTACAAAATATTATTTGATAATTAGAGTCAGTGTATGATTATTACTTTTTAGATTCCGGTTTTCATGTTATTTTAATCATCACAGGTTTAAAATAAATTCATGGGAAATCTGTTTTCAACATTTCTTGATGTGGGATAAAAGTTCAGTCTTCCCACCAGTGAAAACGCCTTCAAGTTTGTGGGACACTGCAGTGCGCAATTGGCTGTCGTGTTTCACCCACAAAATATACAGCTAATTTACTTTACAATGTGAAGTGTTTTGAGACATCTCAAAAACGCTGTGTGCTATATCAAATTCAAGAATTATTATCATGAAACCACCCACTATGTTTGTAACAATTCTCAATTCCTAACCTCTGCTTAATGGCTCTTCACAGCAGTCTATTTGAGATCAGCAACTGTCATTATGAGCAACATCAAACCCACATCTCCCACTGTTATGGATTTAGCCCCCCCAATGTTTCACTTATTTCACTTTGAAGTTTAGTGGCTGCTGCTAAAAGTCTTCAATGATTAAGCAGACTACTACTTGCAGTTATTTCCATTTAAATAGCATGGTGCTATTTTACCTATTCTGATCATTTACGTGTTGAATGCAAGGATTAAGGTGATGTTTAGTGTTTCTATATTGCGTCCATTAATTCCTCATTTCAGCACTAATTCATATATTTTAACATTATACATAAAGCAGCAGGTATAGTGAACCGTTGGAATATCATACTGTAAAATACAAGAAGCTTCTCAGTTGAAAATTGTCTCATATATTCACACGTTTTGCACTTTTTAAACATAGCAATAATGGTTCAGATTATTTTTGCAACCCTAAACCTGTATCATCTTGTTCTGCTGCCTCTGTGAACCCATAGTATTGTTCTGAGTTTGCTTTCTCAGTACCATTTGAAATCTTGTGTACCTCCACAAGGTCCCTATGAGATGTTTCCTTTCAAGACTGAAGAGCCCTCGTGTGTCTAATCATTGCTTATAACTTTTTCCTCCAACACTCCCATGGATGGGATAGAAATTGCCAAGGGGGGGAACTTGAAGGACACCTAAGGGAATTAGCTGAATCAATTGCTTAGCATATCAAAATGTATGAGGCAGCATAAACAAACCAAGCAGGACGCTGGGCTCCTACAAAATCAGTTGAATTCAGATCCCTAGTCTGATCAGGCTTCACCTAGTCTAGCGCCCTTGGATGTCTTTCCGACGAGAAGGGCCCTATACAAGCGTAATTTGTTGTTGTTGTCTAGAGTAGGACATGTAGCTCTGGTCACTGCAACAGTGAAATAAATTATTTAGGAAAATGAATAAGATGCAAAACATAGTATAACATATTTCTTGGTGTATTGTACCCCCAGATTAAATGTTAAGATTTGTTTCATAAATTGGAAAATTGTGTACAAACCGTCTTGGCTCAAGCCATGAATGATTAGACAGTGAAGATTAGAGAGAGTACAGCCACATTCAACCCACAGTATTCAATCCATATTAACAGCCAAGAAGTCAACAAGAAAACTAAAGGTATGACAGGATTGTAACAACAACAACCTGCATTTATATAGCATCCCTCACGCAGGGTAGCATCCCAGAGCACTTAATATTGTATTAATACTGTAGAGCTAATATCTCTCCACCTACAATAATGGCTGCCTTTCAGGACACCCCTTTCAGTTTCCCCCCACCCACACACTTGCTTTCTTTGCTCAAATTATTATTGTTTTTTTTTCTTGAGGGATTATTATCAGGCGTGTGGAGTAAGGAAACTTGCCCAAGGTTTCGCCCTGACCTGCCGGGAATCCAACCCAGGTCTCTCGCTTCCAAGGCAAGTGCTCTAACCACTGAGCTACAGGACTCAGTGCTCCCATTGCCTACTTCTTTTTAATTTCTCTTCAATTTCTGAAATTTCATTATACTTCCCTGTATATTGCAATGTAAGTGAAATGTGTTTTGATTTTAGTTCCAACTTCAAATTCACTGTAAAAATTCATTCTAATGTCATTATTCATCTTGTTTTTTTTGGATATTGTTGTCTCAGATTGATTGCCACGTTACCCATTCAAACAATATTCGATGTTAAATGTTTATGATCTCTTTATTTATGTGCAAATCATATTTTGTTTCCCTTGAGTCATGAATACAGGTCTCTTTAAGCACTTTAAGGCATCCTCCCAATATGGAAGGCACTATATACTATGTAAATATAGTAATAATTTGGTCACGCAATCCACGACTGTTTGTGGGACACTGCCATGAGTAAGTGGCTGATCCTTTTCACCCCCAAATATACAGTCAGTGCACTTTGCAGTATATTCTGTGAAGCGCTTTGAAATGTCTCAACAACGTGATAAGCCGCTATAACAAATGCAAGGTTATTAATTATTATTATTTTCCTGGTTTCTGTTCCCCCCTCATAGAATTTCACCCCAAATTTCGGCCTCTTATCGAACGCTGTTTAGAAGTTCCAAATTAAGTTGCCTTAATTACTCACATAAACAATGTCCCACTTCATTTATTTTTCAATCATTCTCCTCCTGCAAGGTGCTTTGACACGTTCAGTGTATGTGAAAGACGTTGTATAAAATTACCATGTTGCAGGTGTGCAGAAATTAACCCTTCAATTTGGGTGATAAGTGCTACTCTAATTTGTAATCCACACTGCTGCTGCAAAAAGGAATCAACGCTGAACTACAATAACAGTGCAATAATACACATTAATACAAAATAGAAATTGATGTCCAAACATTTTCCATTGCAGAAGTTATTCAAATGCAGTTGAACAAACACTTAACTTCTTCTGAAACTTTAGGGACAAGGTGGACTTTTTTTAAAAAAAACATAGTCTGAATTGCACACTTCCTGCTACTGCACATAAAAACAGCCCAGATCTCTCAAAACCACAAGAGGTGGGTTGTTTAGACAAAAAGTTAAGTCGTGGCAATCATACTCCATGTGAAAGAACTCTCACCTCTTATTTTCCAGTGTTTCCAAATGGCTGTCTGGCTTCACTGTGCCTGTGAGATGTGCTTTGAGGATGGATCTCTGGATTTGCCCACAGTTGTCTCCACTTCCCACAGTTGTTCCTCAATAAGGAGCAGTTTATTTGCTCAAGGTTTGCTCCTGGGCTCAGCTCAGTGTTCAGCAATGAATGGCTGGGAGTTGGGACTGGGGACCAATGCAATGTCTGTGTGTGTGTGTGTGCAGTGCAGATCAGATCAGATCAACCCCTTTTTTTCTAAGTGCCTTTGAGCAATGCTCAGTCAACATTTCCAAGGTAACCTGTGGGAAAATACTCTGCCTTTCAATACCTCTCTCTGCTGCTGCTGCTGCTGAATTTTGCAGCCTGATCAATTAATGTCGTTAATTAATGTCAAGAATAAACTCACCCTTTCTCTCAGTCATACTGTTGCTTGAATGCAACCTCTGCACTGTGTCAGACTTACCAAATAATAGGTGCAATCGAAACCGAAAGAGTTTAACCAAAGTAGGACTGTAGTTTGCATCTATATGTTCTCCTGACTGAAAGAACAAAATAGCCAAAGGCTCAGCAACAATCTCCAATTTACACTGAGCATTCAGTCAATAGGAAGCTATCATTTACCAAAGGCAGAGATTTAACAATAATAATAATACTTGCATTTGGTACACTGCCTTTCACTTCAGGATAACATTTCAAAGCATTTCACAGGGTATAGTATAAAGTGTAGAGACTGTGTAATTTGTAGGTGAACAGGACAGCTAATTTGTGCACTGCAATGTCCCCAAAACAGTCACAAAACGAATTATCTTTTTGTTTAATGGGAGTGGGGGGTGATTTTTGACCTGGAGAAACTCCCTCCTCTTTTCAAATAGTGCCAGGGGATCTTTAACCCACCTGAACCAATGTAGCACACCCCCAGCACTGCACTGACATGTCAGGCCGGACTCTTATGAATTCACTGGAAGTCTGAGAGATACTGAGATGGCTGATGACTCGTGCGTTTTCTGAGCAGATGCACATCAGTTTGGCCCCAATGGAAATGAAATTATTCTCGATGCTAAACCGCAAGGCAGATTTAGGTGCGCTCTGCCTCCAATTACTCATTTTGGTTTTGACTTGTCATTTTTTTTTCTCATCAGATCCGGGATTAAACATGTTTTTGTTATGACTGCAAAAGAATGGGTAGGTGCTGCTGCTGACCACAAACCACAGCTATTGTGGCGTTCATTGAACATGGTGACTTCTATCTATGACATGATATGTGAGATTTTGTACTGAGTTCTTCAGAGCTAATCAGTACATGTGAAGAGATTTTAAAATATGTCAATAAATGCTATTTTAGTGCATCGTATTTATGTTGGAAGCACTTTATTTCTACATTTTAAGTAAACTTTTTTTATCTTTTTTTTCTTTCCGGTTGTTTGTAACATGCCTCGATTAAATTATTTGTACTGCTGTTTAAATGTGTTGGTTAATAAATGTACAACAAATCACATTTGATTACGGTGGCAACAGAGTTGGCAGAACAATGTTGGGTTTGATCCGTGTTACTCTCCTGTTGAGAGTATTCCCACAAGATAGGTGGAATGCAGTGAAGTTCACAAAATGATCAGTTTCGCATGGCTGTGGAGGGAAGCAGACATGCAGGGTAAAGTATAAATGAAAGTTGTTGTTGTTGATTCAGCCTGGAAAAAGGCTATTTGTCCCATTTCTTCACCATCTGCGTAAAGAAAGTTCCACCTAAAATTCCCTATTAGATCCACTACCAGCTATCTTATATTTATGCCCTCTAGGTTTGGAATCACCCAATGCAAAGTCTATTAACATTCATCTTATCAAATCCTTTCATAATCATAAACACGCCTATCAGGTCTTTTTTTGATCATCTTTACTCTTATTCGGTTCTCTCCAAACATATCCAACGATTTAGCCACAGAACTACTAATTATCATTGAAAACTTTTATTTACTTTAAATGATGAGTAAACAGAGGGAACTGTAAATATCTGATGTATGAAAAGAATCGCATCATTCACAGATGACAAAATGAGCTTTTCTGATCAGTAAAATAGTGTTTATATCTATTTGGACCATTAAAGCTACTTCCTATTAATTAAATAAAAACACGATATTTGGGGAACTATTTTTCATGTTAAAAAAGAGAGAAAATCTAGGGGGAGAAAAATCAATGAAAATCTGCTATTAATTTGCATTTTCTGTCCATATTAAGTGTAATCAGAAAGCATCACGCTTGTTTGACAGGACAACTGCAAATAACTCCTTCACGCTCAGATCACGAGCAACAAATGGAAGCAATTCTGACACCAAGTAAAATGCTTGGATGGAAAGAATGTATCCTGAAGCCCATTACCTAAATACACAGTACGTTTATATTATCTGTGCACAATTGCAGTTTAGAAGTTGTGTGTGAGCCTGCGATTTAGCACATTAGCTGGCGGGACTACAGTCCACACAGCTCTTACAAACTTAAAAGAATCCAATCAAGTCAGGCAAGTGTGAAAATTGGTCATAACTGAATTTAAATATCCCTACACATCTACCGTCCCCATGGCGTTTGTATGAACATTCCTTTTATGCCCTGAGGTTTCAAAACTTGCATTTCAGTGAACTTTGATTATACTAGTTATGGAACTCAGATTCTAATCATACACACAGCATACTAATAGCTGAACAAATACTTAAGAAAGTTTTTTTTGCGCTTGTAACCTGACAAAATACTTGATACAAAAGCAATCTGTTAAAGGCGTTTGCTTCAAAGAAAAACAGTTGTGGAAATTCAAGTATTTGACTGCCCTCTAGAGTTCCTTTTCGACAATGAGCAGAACTGAAGGCAAAACGTATGATACCCTTTATTTAATCAAGTGGGCTGTTACAGCCATTTCCTGATCATTTATATCAATTTAAAGTTAACAATCCTTGCATTGTGTGTAAAAAAAACAGCTGTCTCAATCTTGGAATCTGAATAGGCTTTTCATATTTTCAAATGAGACGCTGAGCCCTGGTTAGACTCACTGTATACCAGGACAATCCGAAAATAAACATCATTCGTACATTAAATTGCTCAAACGGCAAGACAGACACAAAAGAACAAAAACACAAGGAAAGAAACATTACTCATTGAATTTTTGGAATTTAGTGCAGGTAATAAATAGTGCAAAATTTATAAATAGATTCGTACCCACCTAATCCCACCTGTTTTGGGACTTCACCAATTTCCTTTGTCCAAAATGCTGCACAAATGCTGTAATTTGTTATTTTCTGCTGCCCAAGCAGTGCTCTCAATTGTCAGATTAAACCAATATTTAACTGTGAACCAAACCCAAATCAATTAAAAATAAATCTGGACACAGAAAATTCAATACATTCAGTTAAGGTGCATAATGGTATTAATGGCGAGCTCTGCAGTTTTAGCTGGTTAGACTCCAGCAATACTCCAACACACACTCTGTCTCCAACCCTTGGCTCTGCCGACCTGCGCCTAATACTGTCGGGAATTAGATAAACAGCACGATTCCCTCGGTCTGGTTTGGGTACTTCTAAGCACGGTGATGGGTTTCTTCACGTGTCAAACACCCGGCTAACAAAAAAATACTGGCCAGCAACGTCATGGAAAGTTTTCTAATCAGCTTTTTTAATTTTGTAATAACTTAAGTCTCTCAAGTTGCCCCTCTACTAATTTATCACAGGAATTCATATGAGTAGGTGGGATGCAAGCAACTGTCAGTTTGGTCTTGCTTCCTTTTTTAAAGTCATGACCACTTGCTGAAGGAGTGTTGTAAGTCCAGTTGTCAAAAGAGGAGATCCATTTGCTTGAAAGATCTTTGTGAGCAATAGACAGCAGCACCGTGTCCTGCCTTCAGCACTGTAGTGAACATAGTCGCTCTTGGGATGCTATCTTCATTCTGCTGAGAATCTTTTCACTGCATGGTAGTAACATAATCTGCAAACAAAGACGCATCAATTTATTTTGCAAATCGGTAAGATCATGGCTAATAATATTAGGAAGATGTTTTAAGGTCTTAATTGAGAGCAAATATTTCCTGTGGAAAACATTGTAAGTACTTTGGGATTCATAAATGTTTTAACCTCTCTCTTCGGGTTGGTGAAAAGTAACTATCAATCACTTGATCGAAAAAATGGAAAACAGGAAGATCAGATTCAACAGATCTTTGTGTCATGGAACAAGTACTGTACTCTGAAATAACTCGCTATGAATCGTGAGTACAATCTGAGTGATGTGGATCTATTTTTGAAACCCATTATCAGATCAGAAACTTCATACTGAAATAATAATAATCCTTGCATTTGATATAGCGCTTTTCACGTCAGGAGGACGTCCCAAAGCGCTTCACAGAACACACTGTAAAGTGAATTGACTGTATATTTGTGGGCAAATGCAGCAGCCAATTGCGCACAGCAATGTCCCACAAACAGTCGTAGATTGAAAATGACCAATTTATTATTGTTTTGGGTTTTGGAGGGATTATTATTAGGCTCTGTGTGGAGTAAGGAAACTTGCCCAAGGTTTCACCCTCTGCCTGGAATAAGGGACAAAGTGATGGAACCAAATGCTTAGAAAGTCTTTAAACAGATATTAACATGATGGAAACATAGCATGGAAAATATAACCAGAAGATAACAGTGTTTTTAACAGGCAGGTCCATGCTTATTGTGTTAATGTTAATTTGGGATGGCGTACATGTCAATGAACAGAAAGAAAAGTCAGGCTCCAAAATTTGAATAGTGAAGTTCACGTGTTAGAACGTTTTCAAGGTATTAATGTTTTCTACCTCATTTATCACTGTTGTTAACTCTAGATTATTAGTGTATTTTCCCCCTGGTTTGTGCAGGTGTCTTGTCGATCTGCACTTGCTGTCATTCTAATATCAATGCTGAGACTATTAATAGTCAGAGATGGCCATACATACACATCCTGTTGCATCAGAAGTCACTCTGGCTTTATAAAGGACAACACTCACAACTGATAGTGGTAAAAAGCAAAGAAAGTGCAGACATTTTTTGCATAAAATAGTCTTTAAAATAAGATTAACTTTTTTCTCAGCTGTTATGTGATTAGGTAACATTCCTCAACATAACCCTTAGATCCCAAATTTTACATTATTATTGCCATTTTATTGTGTAATTTATTTATTGTGTGATTAAAGCACTCTGGCGTGACGGGTAACGGATGTTGTTGTTGTTGTTATTACCTTTTTATGTTCTGTTCTTTTTTAAAAGAATTCCTGGCTTCATTTGTGATTAACTGAATTCGATGAGGTATTCCGGGTAAATCTGGTTGGCATCGAATATTACAAAAATCTTTGGATTCCAGGTATTGTCCACACAGCTGTCGTAGAGGTTCACAAATGTTCCGTCCTTTGAAGGAGGCCGAATATAATTGTGGTCCCCGGTTACATAGTCACCCACCAGAACGCGAGCGAGAAACATTGATTTAAGTGGAGGCTTGCACAGAAATGGTGCCGATGGGGAGAGCATTACACCAAGACTCTGAAAGGCTGATCCATGTTTTTCATCTAACCGACAGTATCGACTGGAGTAGAAGGCGTCTCGTGCAAAATAGGTCCCTATTAAAGGCAAATACACCTCATGTTAAATTATAATCTTCAGAACCTGAAGTACAATGCCCTACCCTCCGTTCCTCTGGCTCCGGTCTGCTCCACATCCCCCGCCCAACGCCCGACCATCGGTGGCCTTCAGCCTCTCAGCCCCGAGGCTCTGGAACTCCATCCCCAGTGCCTTCGCCGCCTCCTCCCTTTCCTCCTTCAAGGCCGGTCTCAAAACCTTTCTCTTGCCTTGCCTTCAGCTCCCCTCTCGACTCTCTACCCCCCCCCTTCCTCCCTTCCCTCCCTACCTGACCATTTCCCCCCCCACTGCTCGGGTCCCAACCCAACTGTACAGCGCCTTGGGACGTCCTCCCGACGTGAAAGGCGCTCTATAAATGAAATCTTGTTGTTGTTGTACATCTCTCTTAAAAGTTGCTATCGGATCAGTTATCAAATGATAATAATCATTACCATATTATCACAAAATATACAATAAACTGAATTCAACGTGTATTCTGTGGGCGAAACGCGGCAGCCAATTGCGCGCGGCAGTGTCCCAGAGACAAGTCCATGGAATGAGTGGCCAAATTATTATTCTTTCTGCCCGGACCCCAACGATTATTGATTGAATAATCGATGAGAGAATAATAACAGTCTGCACAAGAGTGGCTGAGATCAGAAAAAGGCTTCTCTTTGCTATGTGGGGTCCCTGTGGCTCTGGGAGGGTCGGGCTTAATAATAATAATAATAATAATAATAATAATCCTTGCATTTGATACAGCGCTTCAGGGGAAAGGGCGGTGTGCGGTTGATTGAGGCGGTGGGTTGGAGCATAACACACAGTGGCCAATGAGAGGTCGGGGCTGTCGGTGTAAACAGCAGCACGTTGTGCAGTTTAAAGAGCTTTGCAGCGGGTCAGCGAGAGTCAGTCACAGAGAGGGAGGGAGTCAGACCTTGAGGAGAGGGCGGGAGGAGAAGGAGAAGGAAGAACAGACTCAATGGCTGGTCTGATGCTCTCCCACAGCTTTGGCCATTTTGGTGAGCGCGAGTGAGTGAGTGAGTGAGTGTGTACACATGTGTGTGGTATGGAATGTATGTCTGTACACAGGCATGCGTGGTGTTGTGGATGTGTGTTGTAGATGTGTGGTGTGTGTTGCGTGTGGTGTGTGTGTTGTGTATGTGTGTGGTGTGTGTGTTGTGTATGTGTGTGTGTTGTATGTGTGTGTGTGGAGTGTGTTGTGTGTGTGTGTGTTGTATGTGGTGTGTGTGTTGTGTGTGTATGTATGTGTGTGTGTTGTATGTGGTGTGTGTGTTGTATGTGGTGTGTGTGTTGTATGTGGTGTGTTGTGTGTATGTGTGTGTGTGTGTTGTATGTGGTGTGTGTGTTGTATGTGGTGTGTGTGGTGTGTTGTATGTGGTGTGTGTGGTGTGTTGTATGTATGTGTGTGTTGTATGTGTGTGTGTTGTATGTATGTGTGTGTTGTATGTATGTATGTATGTATGTGTGTGTGTGTTGTATGTGTGTGTTGTATGTGTGTGTGTGTGTGTTGTATGTGGTGTGTGTGTTGTGTATGTGGTGTATGTGTGTGTGTTGTATGTGTGTGTGTGTGTTGTATGTGTGTGTATGTGTGTATGTGTGTGTGTGTGTGTTGTATGTGTGT